ATGATAAAAGCTTTTGCATCATAGAGCTCCAGGGCCACTCACAACAGCAGAAATTGCAGACTGTAAAGATGCCAAAGTTAAATCCTCAGATGCCAATGGTTCGCAACCCTCCTGCCTCCCACCCCACCCCAAGGTACTGTCCTAGGAAAAATCTTTGAAAAACTTGGAGAAAAGCCTGAAATAATTTCAAAGAACATTAACCTCAAAGTGTCCCTTGGTAGTAAAGTTTTCCTACAAGTTCAACTTTAATCAAATTCATTTGAAAAAATTTAAATAAAGAGATATGATAAAGGACACCTATTATCACAGTCAGCAAGGGAGAAAAAGTTACTATTTTAATTGCAGTAATTCATCATGGTAGTTTCAGATGGCTGGAGATGGGAAAAGCACATTTCCTTAGTTACTGGAAAGATTTTTTTCTTCAATTAACTCATTTGGAATTTTAGATTTTATTATAATTCTTATCATATTTATGGCAATTAACTATTACTTGGAATTAAGATAACAAACATTTTTAAAAACCATTCTTACTATGCCAACTGGTTCTTACAAAGGACAATAAGGCCTAAATATATCTCAGAGGTTATGAAAATAATCAAACTTATTTCTCAGTTTGTAGAATGGGAGATAAGTTACAAAGCAATGGGTTGACAGAAAAAATAGGTCTTGAGCAATACTGAGCACCAATAAAGTAGGTCATTTCTTAGCATGATCAGATATCAGTGGAGATGCAAAGCAGTCTGTCTCCATGGGCAGGATGCTCACACACCCTAACTGAGCTTCCCTGGACTCAGGGTGGCAGGGGAAAGAAGAGGTGGCACCTATTGCTCTTGGTTCCTGTTTCAAGCAGAATGGTTTATGGATCATCTGACCAACCATGTGGGCAGTCCTTGCTCATTTGCTACTTTTCCACACATGCCACTTGGTACCTTTGCCTGCTTCCCATTAAGCGATAAAACAACCAAAAGCCCTCACTTGAGATCTTTGAATTTATAGCAGACTTTATATAAATATAAGGAAAATGGAGAGATGCTAAACTCCTGAAACACGGTCAACTTAAAACCAAATTTAATATACCCCTGAGCTTAATATCTCTACTCCTGCCTTCTGGAATGTTCAGTCATCTGCTCTTCCCTTTCTCTCCTCTCTTAAGGGCCAGTTTCTTCCATTTTCCTACGCAGAGATATACAGCTAAGCCTTTGTTCCACCTTGTCCTTTTTGAATGCTATATTTGACTTGTTACCCGTCAATATGTTTTGTGTGCATTTTCTTTAAAAAGTATTTATTGAGTACTTACCATGTGCTCAGCCCCCTGAGCCACACACTGTGTATTTGAAGAGAAAAAGACATATAGGTTCTACCCTCATAGAACTTAGCAGGTGGTTCTCTTCACAAAAAGAATTCTAGTGACAACAGTTAATATAGTAGCTCTTTTCAAACCTCGCTACCTTATAAATTAGTATCTGAGCTTCCTAATTCATCACGGCATCTGATATTTTCTCATCATTATAATTCTCAAATGTGTTGGACCCTCATGGCAGTCAGCTATTCCTATCTCAAGTAAGTTTTTGAACTTCAGAATCAACAAAAGAAGAACCAGGTCTCAAAGATATTTAAGATGCGAAGAGCAAGGTGCATTGATGCACTCTTGAAATCCCAGCTACTCAATAGGCTGAAGCAGGAGGATCATAAGTTTAAAACCAATCAGGACAATTTGGTGAGACTTTGTTTCAAAAAATAAAAAAAGACTGGGGATGTAACTCAGTGGTAGGGTATTTTCCTAGCTTGTGTGAGCCTCTGGTTTCAATACCCAGTACCTCAAAAAAAACAAAAACAGAAAAAAGCTGAATCCATAGGAGATTATTCTGAACCATGGAACCATTTCTGAAGGCCTAAACATAGCCGCCATCTTCAGCCTCATTTTTGAGGGGATGGGGGTGTGGGAGGACCCACCATGCTCTTAGGAATAAGGGTCAAAATAAATAGCACATTGTGGAGGCATGGAAACATCATTCTTTAAATACGTTCATGCCTTAAATTAGAGATCTCCAAGACACACAAGCCTGAGGGCCAGAAGTTTGAATTAGCTCAAAAGGACTCTTACAAGTGCCATGCAGGTGCGACTGAAAAGCATTCAATTGGGGACAGCTAGAGACATGCAAAATGAGAATCTAAGCCAGGAGATTCTGGTACTTGGGACTAGAAAAGAAGGCCAGCAGTCAATGGGCAGATTGTGCTGGCTTCTTATCAGGCCTCATGAGCTAAATAGTGTGGGAATTGTCCAATATGCAGATGGAGAAAGAGCAGATTCTTGTTTTCTGCTAATGGCCTCATAACTACTGTCAAGTGAGAAGCAATCACAACAGGCAGACAGTGGGGATTTATTTAGAGCAGGAGGAATAAAATAGCTCACTTCAACCCAGGCATCACGCAACCAGGCCATACAGCCCATCGGCTGGGTCAGGGTTGTCCAATAGAACCCTGGCTGCTGAACAGTGTGAAAACACCAAGGCAGCAGGTTGTCTGCCCAAGCACCACCACCTCACTGGCAGGAGAAAGAAAATGCAGCCCTCTGGAAGCCCAACACATACCAGAATACTCATTTCAGTTCGATATTTTTTAGCACATTTCCCTTTAATGTTACAAATATATTAGAATATTACATTACATAATGCATTGCTTTTAAATAGAAAATGATTTAATTCATCAATTAAGTTGCTTTATGTGACCTAACCCCCCAATCTTTGTGGAAAAAATTTATATTCCAAGAAAATGGACTTGTTAATTCCTTGGCTATGAGTACTTGATACATGCTTACATATTCCCAGAGAGGCAGTGTGTGTGTTCTGCTTTGGAAAACAGCATAATGGAAAGGTATGTCGACACCAACAAAAAGGTTGTTTTGCATATTGTCAGGATAGGGAGGGGGCACAATGGTTTGAGTCATCATTTTGTCACTGCTATCACAACTACTCCTCCTTTCCAACCTGTGCCCTCATGTTAGTGTCATTTGAAGGTCATTTCTTGCCAATTCTCAGTCACTTTTGTCTCGTAAACAGCCACATACCCACCTTCTTAGTAGAATGAAAAGATACGCATTATTGAAACTCACTGTCTCAGTCTTTCACAGACAGAATCAGCACAGCCTCTGTCCTCTCTGGATAGAGGAATGAGGAATGTTCTGAGACACGGATGATCAAAGGCCTTTGGTCATCAACTTCTTCCTTTTTTATTTTGGAATGAAATAATGGGAATAAAAGGAGATGTGTAACTTCTATCTTTTCTAAAATAGCACAGAATATGAGAAGAAAGTAAAGTAAAAGAATCAAAAATCTAATTTCTTCTCCACTTTGTAATAGGACCACTTGGGAATCTATGTGAGAGAAATATGTGAGACACCATTTATATCTAAAAAGCCACGTCTTTAAAGAAAAACAGATTTTGGAGGACAAGTATCTTGGTAGAAATCTAGCCTATGTTTAAATCAACCTGATGACGCACACACAAATGATATTGCCTGAATGGCCCCAAATGGCAATTGATATGGTGAGAGCTAGGCCCAAATGAAGAAAGTTAATACAACTTTTTGCAACCTACCGTGGTCAGAGAATAATTGGCCAAATCCTTGGGAAAACTGTTTTCAGAGGAAAATAATTATAAATATGTTTATCACTTCATTACTGTTCTCTATAGTTGGAAATGCTACTTGAGCCACCCAGTAAAATGTCGGATGCATTCCATCATGAGGTTTAGCATGTATTTTCATGTGGCATGTACTGCTCAAGAGAAAGTGAAAGTACCTGCCAAGACTGAAGGAAAATGTCTGTCCTCTAGCCCAAAGTTTCACCTAAATGAATGAGAGTACTCATGACCCAGGATGGGATTACCTCAGTTTGAAATATACAGGAGAAAGGGTACGGACTAGCAGATGAAAATGTTGTCAGATACAGCAAGCCTGCCAAAATCCATAGAAAAAGAGAACTTAGCAATCAAACTTAAAATCACTTCTCAAGTTCCAGTCTTAACAGCAAGAAGAGAAAGTTGACACTCTGTGTTTGGAGGTGTTACGGCTTGTGTGTAGATGTCCCCCCTCCAAAGCCTCATGCAGTCTTAAGTTGGACTTTTTCAGAGGTGGCTGGATCAAGAGAGTGTGGTGCTAGGTTCAAGTATGTGATTACTAAATCGGTCCACTGACTGGTTTGGCGTAGTTCTGGCTAGGATTAAGGGCATGAGTGCTATACCTGCCCTAGGTAGGTAGCCTGCATAAAATATAAGGGACAGAAAGAGAGCTAATGTGCTCTCACCTGCATGCTTGCCATGGACTATTGCTCCTCTGCCATGCCACCCTGTCTTGGAGCCGCTGACTATGGACTGAAACCTCTACAACCTGTGATCTAAATAAACCTTTCTTCCTTTAACTTTAGGGGTCAAGTATTTTGTCTCAGTAATGAGAAAAGTAACTAAGACAGGAGGTTACCAAGTGGACACTGTATAATCAGGAATTTGGGGTATAAATGAGGTTCCCATGGTGCAGCTTGTTCAGGACAGAGAGGACAGGACACTGCTAACACGGTACATGGTAAATAGTTCTACTCACCCAACAAGCAACTGGGTAGTTACCAACTTTCCTTTTGTTAAACCAAGCCTTCATCTCAGAAAGAATTGCCAAGGTACCAGAGCTGAGATTCTACTGACCTAACTTGACCTTATACCCAGGAACATTCCATGCTGGAAATCTAGGGGTGCAGATAGAAGTTGTGAGGGCTTCATTCTGAGAGCAGCACTGTGGTAAGTGTGCCAGCTCCATAGGTCAATGCGCAGAAACTAGTCATAGAGTCTTCAAAACCACTGGCTTGCTGGACCAAGGAGAGAGGCTGGGATCCCTGTTCCCACTCCTCCAATAGCCGTCACTGTCCTCCCCTCAGACAGGGCAGAGGCAACGTTGCCAATGGAAGAGTGCCTGCAAACGCTCCCACCTTCCTATCCTCACTCCTAGCAGCTCCCAGGCAGCTGGGGGATCCTGCCTCCTCTCTCCTGAGGAAGCCATCTGATGAACAAACTCCCAATGCCTTGTTAATGATTCACCATGTGGTTTGCTGTCTCCTCCCGGGAGATCGAAGGGAAGGAATCTTTAATGGTGGAATTTCACAGACGCTTTTGCCCTTAGGAGAAGGGCTAAGGATAGACCCAACCACCTTATCCACCAGGAGAAAGCCTGCAACACTCCCAGCTCCACTCTTCTGATCCGGAGTTGGTCATCTGCTTCCCTGTTGCAAAGGAGGCCAGTCTTGCTGGGTAGGTATCTGACTCATGTGAAGGTAAAGGAATGTGGTGCCTTTTCTGTAGGCACCCAGCTGTCCTGGAGATTAGGGCGTCTGTACAAAAGCAAAACAGTTACCGAAGGGAAAATAGACTTACTTTAGGTCTGGATCTTGTGAGGAGCCTGCAGTACCACGTGGAGCATTAAAAAATAATGTGGGGATTACTGCCATCACTTCCCTGTTTGTTCTCTGACTCATGCTCTTGTTTCAGCGTCACGAAAGATGATGACCTTTCTCTTCAGTGTAATTTAAAGAGAGCTGATGCCTAATGGAAAATTTTGAGAAAGTTGTCATTATGAACTAATTCAATGGCACAAGCATTTACTGCAGGCTCTTTTCTGGAGAAAGAATTTCGGGGTGTAAACGCTGACACAAGGGAGGATGAATCGAGAGGCCTAGGGCCTCGTATCCTGCTCACATTCTAAAGTGGCCAAGATCAGGAACAAGCTCCCCTTCCAGGCTTAAATTCTCAGATTATCTTGCAATTTTCCTGGACCTCTAACATGCTTCTATTAAAAGAGAATTTTTCTTTCTTAAGGATATTTTGGGCAGTAGGCAGAGCAAGAAAGTTCAAGTCCGGACATTGGAGGTTTTTCCTGGCTGTGTTGATGACCTGGTGGGGAAAAACATATTCTGTTTTCTTTCACGTGGAGGTAATCATTCCTGCCCATATGGTGTCTTGTAAAAATGTTCAGAGGATTATGTAATAGTTAGGTGATAATCTGTGCTAAATGTTTTTTCACAAAATATGTAGTTAATTCCTAATCTGAAAATTTTTAATTATGATTCTATTTCCTGTGGCAGGCCTATGAAGCTGTGTACTAGGATGTGTTAGGAAAAGACAGCAGGAATAGATTTTATTATCTATTTAGTTATTTTTCAAAGCCTTGCTTGTTGGGAGACGGGTAATGAATGACCTAAGAGTATGAAGAATGTACTATACAGAGGATATACGCTAATTAATCTCTTCTGCTGAGGCTGGAAACAGAAGGCATAAAGGGACTTGTGTTAAAGCAAGAGAGACATAGGAAAGATGTAGTGAAGAACTTGCTGATTATGAACATTTTAAGTCACTAGGCAGGGTAGACAAAACCATAATATTGACTTTGGCCAGTATAGAAAGCAACCGACTGGGCATAGTGGCTCACACCTGTAATCCCAGTACTCGGGAGGCTGAGGCAGGAGGATCTCTGTGAGTTCGAGACCAGCCTGAGCTACATAGTGAGTTCCAGGTCAGTCTCAAAAAAAAAAAGAGAGAGAGAAGAAAAAGCAAGCAATGATGCAAGCCAAGTTTTGCACAAGGGGAAAGTCCTGGTTATCTGAGTTAGGTCAGGTCTGCTTTCTGGCAGAAATAGGCTTTGCTCCCTTGTAGCCAACACTCTGACTTGAAGCATGACTTGTGAGCATTTCTAGAGTCTCTTCCCTAGAAAGTTCTTTTTAGAAACTGGAGTCTTTCTCATCACTATGAAAATGAAGTTCCTGACAGTTGTCAGTTCTAAGAAGACTAGCTTTTTCCCTTTAACCTGAGAAGATTTTCTTCTCTTCTCTTCTCCCTCTCTTTACTTTTTATTCAGTCTTTGGACACACATTCATCCCAAGGGGCTCTTTCTGCTTCACATTTATTGAGACTACCAGGTCACATCACTTGTTTTCAATTAACCCTGAGCTATTTAAAGCTGCTATTAGGCCATTAGCTGCGTTCCTAGATGTCTGCCCTCCAGCCAGGCTCTCTCACTACTCTTGTTCTCTCCTACAAGCCCTTTACTCTCCTCTATCCCACATCTTCCCCCCAAATCCTGATGATTCTCTTTTCTTTGCTTCCCCTCCTCCCTTCTCCTCTCCTCTTCCCTCTCAACACTCTTCCCTTGCAAATCATAAATACTGTATAATATAAACCAAAATGAATGTGAATCACTCTGCATCTTTCAGAGCCAGGGCTAGAAAAACTAGATTGCTTCTTGAAATTTGCAATAAAATATCTGGCTGAAAACCACTTCAGGGAGGAAGGAAAACCTGAACAGCAGTTCAACTTTGTTTTTTCATTCAGCAAATATTTATTGAGCAGCTACTTATGTGGCAGGCCCTTGAAATTAAGACTATTGGCAATCCATAAGCTGAGAAACAGAGATAAAGAGTCATGCCCATCTGACATAAAACTTAAGATTAGAGAGCAAACATATAAACCTTGTTTCATTTCCCATCTTTATGAGGAATAAGTGATTCTAGATAATGTGTTCATTGCCACACACAAAAAATGCAGTCAGAGACCTTCTACAAATATGTTGGACATCACATAAGGGCCATCCTGGTTTGCCTTGGAATGTCACTAGGACTGTGAATGATAATTAGCTTCCTCTTTTCGGCCAAAGACCCTCTCAGCATTGCAGTGTCTGGTCCTTTCAAATTCTCTCTGAGCAACAGTTTCTCGATAATGTTAACCAATCATTTCCTATGAGTGAACCCTTCTCGATAATGAGCTCATCATCCCATCAGGTGAAAATATAGCAACACAATTAATATTTGGGGATGAAAATACATTGCTATTTTCTGAATAATGAGCCCTGTGTTCGTTTGGAACTGAATATATAGCAGAGGACCAAAATTTAATTATTTTCATGAGAACTGACAGACTTTACTTCAAACCAACTACACATCATTAAAACTGTGACAAGAGTCTGCAAAGCACCATAGAAAGGCTGCAGCTGTGGCCTGTCCAAGAGAAGGAAAGAAGCCTTATATTGTTCAAGTATGACACAACAAGTTTGAAATGGAATCATTCCATCCCCAATACATCTGGGTTCAATGCAATGATTCTCCCTGCTTGCCAGCCGGGTTCACTCACTGGTGAAAAGGAGGCAGTTCGCGAAGCAGCCAATTCTACTTGCTTTAGATGGTACTGGACTTCAGCGACTCGAGTGGGGGTGGTAGCTGCAGCAGAATCAGAAGGATGAACTCCCTCTGAGTCAGAGTCAGCAGGACCAACAGAATTTAGGAAAGCCGTATCCTGGCCAGATGTGCAGGAGGGAGAAGTGGGGGAGGACTTGACGGCAGGTCTAGGGAAATGGGGGTGGTGATCAACCTTTGTGACTGTGTAAGTGTTCCCTGCCCCGATCTGAGAGGTTGGGGGTGAGAGAGCATCTTCTCCAGGAAGCCTCTTCTAATTCCTCAGGTTAGACTGCTCCTCGGAACACTCAAGTTATCTTGTATACACATTTTTACCGGATGCTCCCTACAGTTCCTACCGTTTTTACTGAAATTGTCTGCCTTTTCACAGTGATTGACAAAGTGGTTTTTGAAGAAAGGTAATGTGGCTCTGTTGTAAATTAACCATGTGACCTGGAACAAGTCTTTCTAAGTCTCAGCTTCCTTATGAATAATAATATTTAATGGGGTTGATGTGAGGGACCAAATGAGTCAATAAAGGGCCTAACGTGTATACTAGTCATCATCATCAAAAATATCCATCATTCCCCGTAATCATAAGTTTCTCAAGTAAGTGTTTATATGTTATCTCCATCTTCTAAAAGCTCAGTATGCTGTCAATAAAAGTGCATTCATGGATTTTATAGCAGTAGCTGCTAGGCAAAGTGAGGGGTTACACATATGCCCTTTGGGATGATGAGTTAGCCTAGAAAAGGTAAAGGGTCAACAGTCATACAGACAATCTCCCACTGATACAGAAGTAGTCATCTACTCTTTTATATCTTTGCAGTTAGAAAAAATATGATGAGAGGTTGTGGTAGGAAAGACTTCTTCACAAGGATATAAAGAAAGCCAAGGATGGTGGCTTGTACCTGTAATCCTGGCACTCTAAGAGGCTGAGGCAAGAGGATCACAAATACCAGCCAAGCCTGGGCACCTTCGTAACTTAGCAAGACCCTGCCTCAAAAATTTTTAAAAAAATTTTAAAAAAGGGTTAGAGATGTGTGTGGCTCAATGTGTAGGCCCTGGGTTCAGTCCCTAGTAGAGCCAACAAAAAAGAAAAGGAAAAGAATACAGTATGATGAATCCAGAGATCTGATACCAGATACTAACTCTCAGTCACATCTTAGATGTGTCCTTTGAGAAGGATGTGACTCGAGGGGCCTGCCTCCCAGGAAATCTCTCCGATAGAGCACCCTTCTCCATCTGCAATGCATTCCATGGTCCTCTAGGGTAGTGTGGGTTCTCTTTCCTCTCCACACTGTGCCTGTGTGTGGTGTGTGCTTATATGGGGCTCAGTTCTAGAGAAAATTATTAGAAACTAAAGAGCACTTCTGATGGAAGATTCTACTAAAAACAGACAATCCACTTACATCTGGAGTGTACCAGTATGGATATGTCTAAGGGGAACAAAGTTGATAACTTCTCAGGCTCTTTTAAATACAGGGAATAATAGAAGTGGGGGGTGGATGGGAGGGAAACTCATGGCATTTCTGACCAATAATATTGCCCCTCTTAAAATTAGCATAGCTAGTGAAGTAAAGAGGTGGCTGCTGATTTGGAAATTTTTCATAGTAATGTTTCTCCCGGTTCATTAGAAATGTCATTAAGGCTGAGAATAACTTAAATTTACTGATGTAAATACGCTTTCAGCAGCCTTTCTCAAGAAATGAGATTGGCTTGCTCCAGGCACAATGGACTTGAAAATTAAAGAGGGAGACATCCATGTGACATGATAGCAAAAATATAGCCAAGCAGAAAGCCTCATTACTGCACAAGAGACAGAGGGGAAAATGCCTAATGGAGTTTGGAAATCTGGGCTCCAGTCCAAAATCTGGTATGCATGTGTGACCTTGAGTAAGTCACTTCATTTCTTCGAACATCCGTTTTTGTATCTGACAGATATTCTCTAGGTCTAATATTCTAATTTGTTAAAGAATATAAAAGTAAGTACAGATGAAATATATCAAATAAGATATAGCTGTACTCTTTACCTATCTTTGCATTTGTGACCCTGTATTAGTCTGTATTTATCAATGTCTAGACAAGTGT